CTTTGCAAGCTCCGAGCAACACTTGGAAGACCTGGCGACGATGTAAGTTGTGAGGCTTTCCTGCATCAGCTCCGAAAGCAACAGCATCCTGGGCTCAGCTCTATCATTGAGACGTTTGGAATGTTGTGCTCATCACGCAGGAAGCCGCACATCGTCACAGCAGGAGACATGCCATTCTGAAGCAACACAACCTCCGACAGCACACAACGTGCATGAAATTGACCTCTTGGTATGCTGGGCCTGTCCGACTGCAGGGACGGCAACAGACGATTGTCAACGGCCTTTGCAAGCTCCGAGCAACACTTGGAAGACCTGGCGACGATGTAAGTTGTGAGGCTTTCCTGCATCAGCTCCGAAAGCAACAGCATCCTGGGCTCAGCTCTATCATTGAGACGTTTGGAATGTTGTGCTCATCACGCAGGAAGCCAAACATCGTCGCAGCAGGAGTCATGCCATTCTGAAGCAACACGGCAACCTCCGACAGCGACAGAAACTGCCCGAGACTGAGCTCTTCGTATGCTGGGTCTGTTTTGCCGTGCAGACTGGATGAATCGCATTCCTGCCGCAGCACCGGGCACGTTTTGGAATATTTTTGGGCGGTGTTTTGCAGGTGATTGTGGGTGGACGACATCGTGTGCCCGCCACAGTGCCGCGTTCATATCGCTCGTAGTCGCTGAAGTCCTTGCAAAGTCATACTATGGGGCTCTTTGTTGTGGTTTCGGAAATTCCACATATAGTCGTGATCCTACCAGTACCGTGCGTATTTTTCGGGTTCCTGCAGAGTCGCGTGCGTGTCCACCGGACCACAGTATCGCGTACATGTGGCCGACTCGTGTTTCCACCCCCGACAAACTTGCTCCCGAGCGCGGTGCGTGTTCTGCCAATCGTGCTCCAGGACACATGGGATGGTTTGGATTCCTAGGTGACCTATCACTCTTTGAGTTCTTCATAATGGTTAGTTTAATAGAGTTAGTGAGTTAAGCACGGTTCTTGATTCTGGAGAGAACCAACCAAGGAGTGTGTCAACTCTGTTGAGATGGTGTGACCCAGAATATCCAGAGTCTGCAGCACCGGCTTGAACGTTTCGAGAAGTCTGATCAGACACACAAGCAACAGGCATCAAGGGTCTGCGACTCGCAGGGAAGACGAAACCACACACAGAAATGTGCAGGAGACTTCTTGACGCTAGCTGCCGCTCGTCGCACCTCTTTCCAGAGCGAGAGCAGCTCGGCCAATTGTCGGCGAATGCAGCGCTGCAATGCGAAGAGCCTGTCCAAAACCAGGACCCGGGCTTTGCCAAGCAAACTTCTCATGGTTCAAGCTTTTCCTTACTGATCCTTCCTGTACAAGCGTGCCCTGTCCGCTGTTACCTGACGACATTGCAATGCGTGAGGGCTGTCGTGGCATTGTAAGGCCTGTTCTTGTGCTGCATGTTGCATTTCCAGGCATCCGGATTGAAGGTTCTTCCCCATTCCTCCACTGATCTGGCTTGACTTGGGAATAGCCATTGTCAGTGTATGTGTATGGTCATCCGTGCGAGTTACAAGGAACCGACACACGGACAGATATGTAAATGTTTTTGGAGACTTCACCTCATTTTGCTTCTTCGTCCTCTGCGTGTCTGCCTGCATGCACTGCAACAGAAGAGGGTGGCTCGAGCAAGCTCAGGATCTGACATTGCAGCGACCCGAACACTCTTCTTCCTGGACAGCAGGACGTTACAGCTCTGCTGCCTCGCAGACAGTCTATAATAGTCCGCATGCTCAACACGATACGAGTCCTTCCACAGCTCTGACGAGGCTGTTGGTCCTCACAAACATCTCCGGGGCCTGCACGGCGAAGCGAAACTGCGACTGTTCTGCAGCACGGCTGTGCTGGACACACACCTGCGAGTAATGCCAGTAACAAGTCATATCACAGCAAAAAGCCTGTTCTGAGGGCAAAATGGGCTTGTTTCAACTGCAGAGTGTACTGTCATCATTCGCCCATGATCTGAGTCATCTGAATCTGTGCAACGACAGCTGGCTTGTCATCGCTTCTGCCATGCTCACGCAGAGCTCCAGAATGTTTGACTAGCGGCTAGCGGCTGTTTGGCGCTGTGCAACGTTGGTGTCATTTTTGAAGCAGGGGACCACCACGAAAAAGCAGCTGAAAGTATACCACCCAAATGTTTCGAAGCTGTCTCGATCAACGCACTGCCGTTTACCGCATGTTGCTCGGCCTGCATAGTCGGCATCGGATGAAACCTGCCCACGATGCTCGCACAATTAACGCCAGTCAGAGATGTGAGAGCCGGGGACCGGGACGCTGCTTTTTCTCGGTGGCTCTAGGCTTGGTAGCTGCCATCTCGGATGGCTTCCTCTACCTCTGCGCGACTGGCCCCGAAGTCCTTGGCTGACGCTTCAAAGCTTGATCCTTTCAAGCCGATGTCCTTCGACTTGCAGCAAAGCCGCAGGTGCATCTCTTGCGATGAAAGCTGGCGAATCAGCTTTCCACATTGCCGTGTCACCGATGCTGACGTCATTCCGCCGGCACCAGCCTGCTCATCTTGTGGCTGTTTTGCATGCAGCAACAGGCCAGGCTGGAGAATGGAACCTTCAGGCAGCTCTATGGCTGAGCTGGCCGGCAGCTCGCTTGGCACACTCATTCTGGAAAGTGGAGTAGCTTGCCTGGGTCGCACTTGGTCCAGACATGAAATTTTCTGAGATTCCGTGGATGCAGCCAAGCTTCTTAATTGAAACTACTCTGTGCTCGCGATTGACGTACACAATGTCTAGCGGCATGTAGGTGTTTTCCTCATACAGTGAGCAATTAGTGGCGCAGCCTGTACCGAGAGATGCTAAGTCCGACCAACTTGAACTTGATCAAACTCTTGCGGAACAGCTGATGGAAGATCCTGAGACGAAGTCCATCCAAAAGCTTCTAGCTCCATCTCGGTCCCACTGGAAGAGCATCGCAGTGCCCTCTGTCAGTTCAGACCGGAACATGAGGCCTCTCCTCGGAGCAAAAGCCAAAAGCTCCAGTGCTACGGAAGTGTTCTTGGTCCCCCAGATTTTCGTCTCAGCTTTCGAGTGACAAGCCGGTGCCTACGCTCCTGTTTCAACGAGAGTCAGCGGTCGGCTTACGACTTGCAACCGGATTCGACCGCTTTCAGACGCTCAACAGCTTGGGCACTCCTCAAAGACGGAAGCTCTCGCCCATACTCGCCCCTACAAGCACTGGATGGTGCCTGTCCACCTTGCACCTCTGGTCCTCCCTTTCATTTTCTAAATTTTCATCTGCCCCCTAGGACTCTACCATCCAGGACGCAGCACACTCCCCGCTAGCTGGAAGCCCGCTGTTGAAGTACCCAGCGCAATCTCGGAATCCTGGTCTTGTCCGAGAAGCATAAACGTACTGAACGTCCTGCGCCGAACAGTGAGACGGCGTGCAAAAAGCAGCTCACGGACTTTTAATGCAAAGTGGCGCAAGGGCCAAGAAAGGAATCGCCCTGCGGCCCTGTCCTGGGAATCTCGATGTCTACTTGAACTGGCAAACCGCCGCTTTTGCTCGTGAACCAGAGCCTGCCATCCTCGCGATGGAGAGTCGAACGCATCGCTTCGCCTCACCGCTTCGCCCACCACGTGGCCTCTCGGAAGGCGGCTCCAGGCGGCGCCTCCGCGGCCAGCTGCCTGGGCGCGCATTCGAGGCTCGAAGCGGCATGCATGCCCAGGCTCGAGGACCGGGCGTTTGAAGCCAGCTGCCACGCTGACGTCGGACGGGCGCTCCATCCTTCTGAATGCGCTGCAGGAACACATGCTTTGGCTTCATCTCCCAGCCTTCGCGGTCGCATCTTGTAGCAGTGGACTGCCATGAGCTGCCGCAAGAAGCAGCAGACCGATTGCAAGATGCATGCCTGCCAATATGTGGCAACAGCGCGGCAATCTCGAACCGACTGCTTGCCCGGCCTTCTTTCGAGCACAGCAGTCAGTAGCCCATGGCTCTGAGCCAGATTGCTCTTCGCAGATCGTTGCGAGGCCACACACAGCGCTTTGAAGTGGCTTCGACATCCTACCTCGCGTTGGATAGAAGCCAAGCTATCGCAAGATTTAGAGGGTTACACCGGAACTTTGCAGTTTGGCCAGAGAATGTCCGGCACATTCCCACGAATGCGAGACCACGAAGATGCGAGGCAAGAGAGAGGCGGACTCTGGGGATGGAACTCATGGAACCTCAAGAGGCGAGGGTCTTGCCTTCTGCGAAATGAGCTCGTCGCCGTTGCGAGGAAAGCCTCCCCGGCGAGAAAAATGTGGCTGCGTCAAAAGAGAGCACTGTCGTCACTATCTGTCGCTGGGCGCCGGACCAGCGGCTCCCGGTGCCTTTCGTCGTTCGGCAAACGACAAGAGCAGCACTCTAGGACAAAACAGCTGCCTCTGTTGTGGCGCTCGCAAGCAACCTCCGTGGCAAGATTAACAACGCTACACAAATGTCGCAAGGTTCGGTCAGTGACCCCAAGGCATAGTACGACCAGAGAACCCGCTGCTGACCGGCCCAAGGACTGGAGACTGGACAAAAACTCAGGGTCCTGCCGAGAGCATGCACCCAGTGGAGCTCTCCAAGGAATTTCCTTCGGAATGGTCCTCTGCCGAAGGTATCCGGTGTGAGAAGCGTGCAGATGCGTGCAGCAGCTCAGCCCTCAAATCCACAAGCTTGAGGCGAGCGCTCTATTTCGTGCCGATGCACCCGCAGCAATGAAGCATCTGAAGCTGTCAGCTCACATGGCCCCAGCATGCGTTTTTGCACCTTTCCTCTCTGCGTGCACGCGGAAGCAATGTCGATAGTCGATGTCGTCCATGCGCACCTTGCAGTTTTCCGGATCAGAGGAAACAGAGATAACCGTCAACATCTGCAAGTGGCTGTACACTGTACAAAATCAGAGCCCACTAATCCGCTGTTTGGGCAGACGAGCGACGGTTCGCACTCAGACCGATTACAACACGGCTTGATTCGACCGTTTTGATGTAGTCCTGGGCCCACAGCACAGCAGCATGCAAGTCTGCAAGCGTCTCTTCTGGCTGCTGGAGGACATCGGCGAGCCCACACTCCTTAATCTGCCGGCGCACAGTTGCACAGGCGTTCGTCACCAGGACCTTCACGTCAATATTCGACCACTCGCGCTTGTAATGCATAAGCGCAGTCTCGTCCAAGAAGGAGACCATGCGCCAGTCTGCAATCGCAACAAGGATCTCTCGATCAAGATTTCGCCGCTCGCGTCTCGCAGCCCTGGTGTTTGCCGCTGCATTCCCGAACCAGCGAGGGCCAAGGGGCCTTGTAATCACAATCTTCTCCAGGTGAACTGCAGAGGATCCCGGCACCCCAATCTCATCGTAGGTGGTGGTTCCAGGCACACGGCCGATGTGGACGTATCCGGGCCCTGCAAACCTGGACAAAGAGACGGCCACCTGCATGCAGACTGCAATGAGCGATCCGTTGACAATTCCAAAGACCAGAGGCGATAAGAACGCTATAGAGTAAATGCTTAAATCACTCGCCACGATCATGCGCAACGTACTGTTCGGAGACGTCAAGCAGGCCTGCTGCCAGAGGTGCCAGATTTCCCTAGGAAGGCTCCGGAGCAATGGAGCAAATTCTACCACCAATATTACCGAGACGGCACAGCGGGGAAAATCGAAACTTGATAGTTGGGAGACGGAAACGAAAGCCACAAGGTGTCCCAAGATGTTTCCAAAAGTAGCGAGTCCACCTGCTGCACCCTGCAGTGCCTGACAGATGGCGAGGTTAGCCATTACAGGCATCCCTCCCACAAGAGCAGCCAGCAGACTTGCAGAGCCCAAAGCAAAGAGCTCCCGCCTTGGGTTCCAAGAATCGGTCGGGCGTCGAACTTTTTCGGCCACAGTGAGATGACTGCCAAGCGTGAGAAAAGCTGTGAGTGCGGCCGTGGGCAGCGTGTCCACGAACTGTTGCAAAGTCCAGCGTTGGAAGACATATTCGGGAGAAGGAGTTTCGAAACGCTCCAAGGACTCCAAGCCTCCCATGTCTGCCATGTACTTCTGCACCACAGCTGCCGCCACAAGTATTGCCAAGTTGGCCGAGGTCTGCAGGACGGTACAGCTGCTGGCACAGAGATTTCGAGCAACACTTCCACGTTCCAGTTGTGCCCCCCGTTGTCCCAAGACCTTGCAGATCAAAAGAAAAGTCAACAATGCGGCAGATAAGCCAGCAGTTTGTGGGCAAATCTCCCTAATGGAGGAGCAGGCTGTCACGAAGCGATGTATAGGAGTGCTTTGCACGCGATCAGAGAGTCCAAGAAGCGTCTCAGTCTGACCCAAAAGAACAATGAGTGCCGCAGCTCCAGTCCGAGCACGGAGTAAGGGCTGGGAGAACAGCTCCACGGCCGCTCCCAAGTCGAGGAGGCCCATCAGGAAGTGCATTGCTCCAACAAGGACAGCCAGCAACCCTGCAATCGCTGCAAGATCTTCATCTTCACTCGAGGCCAGAAGTTCCCCAAGGCACAAGGCTGCGGTCGATCCAGACTGCACCGAAAGGAGCGGAAGGCTTCCAAGCAACAGGTATGCTACCGGCGAGAAGAGGCTGGTATTTATGCTGACAGACGGCGAGACTTTGGCCAAAGCCGCATTGCCCACTGCAAGTGGCCAGAAGACGATGCCGACAAGCAGCCCTTGCCATAGGTCAGTGAAAGCTGCGCGGGGATGATCCAAATAGAATGTTGCACCAGCCGGCAACCACCTCATGCTCAGACCATCTCCCTGTCTGCCAGGCGCTACGAGAGCCAACTGAACTTCTACCTCTCTACCGCCGTCGAGCTCTTCTGAAAAGCCCTGTCAACTCTCTTGTTACCAACCGCTGTGACCACTGTGACCATGATAAAATACTTCAGGTTTCCGCGAAGCCCTCAGGCCGCCAATCGACTAAGTTGTGCTGAGCTGAGAAGCAGTACCACGAGCAGGTTTTGCCCTTTCACCGTGTCTTCATGCGCAGGTAGCCATGAGGGACCGTTCGGGGCAGGATGCTGGAGGGCATGCTAGGCTGCTAGACCCTAACCCTCACTGACCCCAAACCACGTCTGTAGTTGGGAGACCCACCTATCATTAGTTGGTTCATAGGTCGACATGACCCAGGCTACGTCTACGAGACTAGGAAGGAGCACAGGGCCAGTCCGCAGTCCTGGCTTCTGCCACGGCAGCCGCCATGCACCTGAAGGATCTGCTCGTTTGCAAAGCAAAGTCTACCACGCATCATATCGGTCTGTTCCAGGGTTCGGGCCCTGAGGCTTGCAGCCATCAGCCTGGCAACGAGGCACAATGCTGTCCGATGCAAGAACAGTGTGGGAATGCCTCATCAAGCCAGAATCAGGCTCGGCAGCATTCAACACCCTGAATTTTATCGGTAGGCCGACTCAGCCTTTAGATCTCCTGCCAGCAGATTCCTTGCTGAAGCAACTGCTGAGCTTTGCACTAGCATTGGATATCATGTTTCGGTTATGTTGCATTGCAGAGTCCATCAAGGCGATGCAACTGTGTCGACACGACTCATGGCTGCAGGAAGCCAGGACGCAGCTTCTTCAAGCCTTTGCTGGCAATACTTTACTATGCGTTGGGTGGGCATTCCAAAATCACGGCCACGAGTGCTGGCGCTGTCTCGTGTCCTTGCCACTCAGGGCAATGTCACGAGACACAAATAAAGGTTTCACGATGGAAAGACGAGTCAGCTGCCTCGACGGCACCAACAACCTTTGTGATGGGGTCTGTTTGCTGGGACAATAGACTCAACAAAGTTTGTTTGCTGCTGTTAACAGTCTCGCTCATGACATGTGGCTTTTTCCCGTCTTACAAGCAGCTAATCAGAACTGCGAACTTCAAGATCATAATCTCGATTCACAATCGGTTCAAGGACGTGGACAGATTGAAGGTTCAGAGGTACTTCATGTGGTTGAAGCAGCCGGCTCGTTCCCCTTATTTGGTCAGCAGCAGCATACCTCATATTAACTAAGCTGCTAAGCTGCTAATTGCGTCTCATATGCTCGGCTCGTTCAAGCGACTCATCTGCATCAATGTTGCAAGCTCAGGAGCCTAAGCCAGAGAATCAGTGACCTAAGCCTGAGAATCAGTGAAACAAACGGCATTAAAGCTCAATCCTTCGATCTGCAATCGGGTAGTAGGGCACCTGCTCACGAAAATAATGTCATAAGAATGCTGGCTGAAGTATATAGTATGGTGTCAATATACTTTACGAGTATTGAGGATGTTGTTCCGTAGCGTGTCGAAGGAGGCATCACAAACCTCTTCTGCTGACGGCACACGTTTGATGCACTTGATACATGCGAAAACTTCAAGAAGTAATTAGCCGAATGACAGGTAGATCAGCTTATGTAATGCCATGTGGCAAACCATATTATGCCTTCGTGAAATGTCTCCTCATGCTCTGATTGGCTCTAGTTTGAGGCTTCGATTCCGATTACACGGACTGTGAACCATGCAACACTCTTGGCTTTGGCTGTTCGGACGCACATTGGGTATGTGCACGAGGAAAGACATCATCCTTACGGCCTTGCGGAACCTTGATCGCCGGCAACATTAAATCTTCAGCAAAGACGGGATGAGAGGAGTCAAGAACTTAAGTGGCAAGAAGGCGAGGACGTTACATCTTTTCAAAGATCGAGGAGCGACAAAAGACCTCTGATGTTTTTACTGGGATGACAATGAACAGCTCAGGCAGAACGAAAAGTTGCCTGTGAATGGCTGTTTATGACACCTGTTTTCTAAAGCAATATCACGATGAAAAGTCGAAACCACCGCAGCAGCAAACTATCAGACTGCGTGCTATTTTCGTCAGTAGTGCACGGGTTCGTCAATGTCAGAGTCACCGTCGCTCAACTCGTCTTCATGCCGATATTCTCCTCGTCAGCCGATCAACACCCGAAGTAGCATCGCAAGTAAAGCTCTTGTCCTGCACGGTGAACGTCGATGCGACGTGGATACGCAAAGAAAGGGACGGTCTGCTTGATCCTCCAACGCCTGAAGTCCAACAGTCCAACATCGCCGCACTCGAAGCCGAGTCTGAGAGAAAGCTGAGCAAAGAAGCCACTTCAAGCGGCGCAGCCTCATCATGGCCTGGGAGGCGCGCAGAACAGCTCCGGCTGTTCGGGACGAACAGCTCCGGCTGTTCGGGACTCTTCGGAATTGCTGGCGTGTGACCCGTTTCGCGCCGCTGAAGCCCTCCATTTGCTCAAACCTGGGCACACATCGAGATCATCTTCAGATGTCAAGCAAAAGGTTCTCAAGGTGCTGGCTTCACAAAGAAAGAGCTGGATTTGTCAGCTACGACGGGATGGCGAACAGCACGGACCTGGTGTCATTTTCCTCATGGCCGGACTCAGTTTGATATGAGAAAGGCTGGGAGGGCGACTGGATAAAACCGAAGTTGGTGCATGACCTGGGATGGAGCCTACATCAAGTCGCAACACCTCCGCGATGATGCCATGGCACCTGGAGGAACTCTGCCTCCGTCATGTCCTGGCGCACAGACACTGACTCCATTTCCGACTCAGCGCATGTTTACAGGCTCCTCCTGCCATCCGGTGGTAAACACCCACGTTTTGGAGTCCTTTCAATCAGCAATCGCCAGAGTCGTCCCTTCCGTGAGCGAAGACACGCGGACAGTTGCACGGTTCGGTTGAACGCTTCAAGCTCCATCATACTTCGACAATGCACTTGTGTGTTGGAGCACTACTCTGCCGGTCGAGAGGTGATGACACTGGCCGACACAGATTGCTGTGTCTAAGCACTTTCACCAAAAGACCCTGAGACCCTGCACTGTGGGCAGGGCATGGAGGAGAAAGTCCAAGGCCTTGCAGCAGTGGGCATGACCGATACAACAGCTTGACAGGTCCCATGTCATAGTCTTGGCTGCACGCAGGGTCGCTCAGGAAGAGCGTTGCGCGACTGGACCACAAGAAAGCTGCTCCTTACGGCATCTTACGGTATTACGGATCCAGAGAGGTTTATTTTTTATCAGGAAGATGTGCTCTGAGGTCGACTCCGAAAAGCGAACCGTGGGCAACCCGTTTGGGTACAGCAAGTTCCTTCTTCACATCAGCTCTGAGCGCATACAGCAACGGGAGGACACAAATCGAGTCTTGAATGCAGCCTGAATCTCTTGGACGCAGCGGTCGACAGCTTCTGACGTGGGGCAGACCACGTAGCAGGTGTCTGCCTGCCTCCCCCACCTCAGGGCTGACAACTTCGGAGTCGCAACGTGTCTCAACATCTGTACCCTTTGAGGATCTGGCCGCTTGAAACGGAAAACTATGTCAGCAAGCGCTACCGTCACGTTGCACCGCTCTTTCAAAATATGTGCAATGTCCTTTCAGCACGATGTTTCAACACGGCTCAACACTCGCGACGGAAAGGCCGGCTGTCCTTCCGCCCGTAATTTGACGGCACCTGCTAAGCCCCCGCACCCTACGTCACCCTCGGCACCCCAGGGCAATCTCTGATCCAAGAACCACGAAGCTGCACAAGCGCAATACACCGAAACCAACAAACACACACTTTGTGCCAGGTGAACGACAACACCGAATGTGTATGGCAGCTCGCGGAACTGTCGGTGAGAAGAGAGTTTCAGGGACACCGTCAAGCTTTCTACTGAAAGAGACTGGGCCGAAACCACTGAATCAGAAAAAACTAGACCAGACACTCGAAAGCAGTATGTTGAGGGCAGGTTTCAATGATCTTCACTTATTGCCACCTTTGGAATCGGTAAATCATGCACTGAAGCAATGATCCAGTTCATGTACGAGCAGCTGCAGGTTTTGGAAAACAGGCCTGGCGTGTCAGTGGACGACATACAGTTTCGGCTGCGTTTAGAAGCAAGGGAGCTGACAGAGCAGAAAGACTGAATGACTCGATGGAAGCGGAAACGCGAGTCAGAGTCACAAGGAGTACTTCCGAACGGATAAGACACAGAAGAAGGTACAATAGGGTTTAATCCGTGTCTGAACAACTGCTTCGGCAACCACTCCAGACAGCATGTTGAACAAAAACCTTGCAGGAATGTGAATTGGATATACCCGCTCCGTGGCATCTTCTTGACCAGACCATGTCGCAGTGAACTGACCGAAAGCGCCCGGGCATACTTACTTCTCGCCTCGGTGATCGTGAGAACTCGCAAGAAACTTTCCGGTGCAGCGATGCGTCTCAAGTCCTGGAGGAAAAACGGCGTGGCGAAATGGCGCAAACGAAATGTGCAGCGCCTCGCTGAGATGCACGAACCGCTCGCACTGCTCCACGAAGGCCTGCCGCAACAACAACGTTGGGAGGCTCGCGCGAGCGATCCGCCGCCTAGCCTCGATGTCTGACCTGTCCATGGGACGGTATATCGTTCCCCACGGAAGCTCCTTCAACAAACCATTTTTTCAGCATGAAGTTCTGGCTGACAAAGCTGAACCCGCCTTGACAACGTCCGGAATGTGAGTTGAGGAAGCTACAAGAGCTCGCCCCATCGACGTGCCCAAACGAGACCGCATCAGCAGGATTTTGCTGTGCCTCAAACACAACCATCATGCAAAAGAGTGCACAGAAGAGCACTGCGCAGACCAAGATGAATGCCTGTCTGTTCCAAGTCTGAGGCCAGTTGTCTCCTAAGTCTTGCCCACAGCTGCTCAATGCATCTCGCACATGCTCCTGGTGAGAACAACGCTTCTCCGCAAAATGTGGAGCAGACCGACGCCAGACGCTGTGTCCTCGTTCCAAGCACGAGGCAGGCGCTCCAGCAAGAAGGCCTCGCAGCGGCATCAGGACCCCCCGTCTCAGCAACTGCCATGCAGGTCACTCCCCAACTGCAGCGCTGCCGGGCGAGCCTCCTGCCTTTCGCTCAGGCTTATCTGCTCCTGGCTTCCCCAAAGAGAGATTATCTTGCAACGATGTGTGTCACAGCCTGCGATTCCCGAAAGGAGCTCGGTGCCGTCACCATCCACCTCCGAGCCGACATAAGAAGGCAACCGCCGACGCGCAGCGGAGCCGAGCCGACGTGGAGCCGTGCACCGGCCTCGGCCTCGCCGGCCGAGCCAAGCAGCGCCTCGACGGGGGCACACAAAGCGGACCTTTACAAACGAAAAGAAAGAGAGAAGAAGAGACCAAATGAGTGACAGAGACAGCGAGAGAGAGAGAGAGAGAGAGAGCGAGACAGAGAGAGAGCCAAACGAAGAGAAAGTGAAGCTTCGACTGTGCCTCACCGCG